CCGTTTCCTTCGTCATAGTCCACAGTGGTGGCGAAGGAAGACCACTGATGGCTCCGATGCTGCTCGGCGGCGGCGGAGATTCGATCTGGTGGCCTGAGGCGGCTCACCATCTGTAACTCGAGCCATCTACGGAGGTGCCGCTGACACAAGTCTCGGGCAAGTCAGCGCAGTCTCGGACTCAGACAATCCTTACATTCTTGTTTGCTTTACTTTTGGATTAGTAGTTGCTAATTCTCATATTTTTGAGAGACCTTCAAATCTTCTATATCTAAATAGCTAGCCCCCACTACCCTATTTCTCTCAACATGCAAATATGCCACCTCATCATTCAACATGCATGGAGAAAGGTCCACCACAACATATGCAATCATGCATAATAAAAAGCCACCTCAACATGTAAACATGCATGAGAATATACATTCTATTATGATATTTACATTATATAATAATCAAACACCACAAATCATATTTATTCTTAGCTTTGTTTTTCATATTATTACTCCAAATATTCATGTTCCATACAACCAATTCTAACTGAATATATATTGCGCAACAACGTGCAGAGTATCATCTAGTTCCATCAAAATCGAGGTGTATATTGAGTGGATCCTTTTTCTCAGAAACTTTATACCGTCCTAGATATTTTATCGTGTTCCCTGGTCAGCATTAATTCTCAGACCAATGATAAGATGCTGAAACTCGCCCGTCCCATACGAAGGTGACAGGAAACTTCCCACCGTCTCTGTCTTCAAGGTCAACTATCTTAGCATAGTGACAGGAGTACACTATTGTGCATGTTCGTTATAATATAAAGCAAACTAGTGGGCACCAGAGGGTTAGGTTAGATGCCTCTGTCATGTCTACTTGTTTAAGCATTTTACCAGTGAGGAAAATTTCTAATTTGGTTATATAAGAGGCATGAATGGCCCGTTGTGAAATTGGACCGAGACTTATTCAACTTAGTTCATGAGTTATTATGCTTTTTGTCATTACATCAGAAGACTGAGTTGTGTACACCAACTATCATTTCACAAAACTACAGTAAAGAGATATATATTTTTGGATTCCTTTTGTGATAGCTTACCAAAGATGCAATGTGGTCAGTAAACAGATTTATAAGTTGATACCTACCATTTCCCAAGTCTGCAGAAGACTGAGTAGTATATCTGCATGTTGAGATCCATTTGCCCGTATTATAAAGCAAACAAATGGGAAACAGTGTATTATTTCAGAGCATCTCTCCACTGGTACTTGTTTATGTACCTTAGCTGTCTTCAAGATCACCGGGTGCGTTGCCTGCAAGATTTATGATTGTAGATTTATCCACCCAAATATCACTTGTAGAAGTGTTTTTCACATTTGCAGTGACACCTAGAATGTCATCTTGTGGCCATGTGGGTGCTGATGGTTTATTGAAAGAGGGGGATAGAGAAACATGTTGTGTAAATTGGACGTACTATTGCATGGCACCTTGTTCCCTACATGTAAAGATGAATCATTTGAATTTAAAATTTTAAATGTGAAAACATCTTGTTTTCTGTAAGGTCATGTGATTCAGATAATTAGATTTTTACTCTGTGATGTTATTTGGCCATCAATATGTCCTATGACAAAGTTGTCAGAAGTTTTATGCATCATAACTAAAACATTTATTTGATGTGCATCGACATTTGTCTCTATATATGCTCTAATTGGGCTCCCCCGCAAAAAAAAGCTCTAATTGGGTTACAAATTTTTGACCCCTGTTGCAACGCACGGGCCTACTTACTAGCAGAAATAGAAGAAAGCATAGCAATGAAAAAGATGAGGAAAAACAGAGAGCAACTAATCGAGGAACACGAGAGCCACGGTTTAGCTTCCACGAGAGACATCGTTTTGCTTCCACGAGAGGTACGGCCGTGCCTCTCGGAAACGGAAAAACCGCATTTACTCTTTTTTTCCTTCCGTGAGAGGCATAGTTTTGTTTCCGCAAGAGTCGCGGTTTTGCTTCAGCGAGATGCATGATCGTGCCTCTCAGAAACGGGAAAGTACGCGTTTTCTCTTTTTTGTTCTTCCGTGAGAGGCATGGTTTTCCTTCCGCACGGCCGTGCCTCTTGAAAACTGAAAAAAACACTTTTTTTCTTCCACGAGTGGCACGGTTTTAGTTCCGCGAGAGGCACGGATTTGTTTCTGCGAGAGGCGCGGCCGTGCCTCTCGGAAACGACTTCCGGAAGAAAAAACACGTGCTGCCGGTTCGGTTTTTTCGTGAAAAAAAGTTCATCAAAACCTATCAACATTGGACCTAGTTTTGAAGATCTCGGCGCGAGAAATCCAAAGGTGAAAATGGTTCGGGATTTGGACGCATGGTTTAAGAAATAAAATGTTTTGAATAAATGGATCTTCGGAAGAAAGGGAAAACTCACAGGTTATGACAGTGCGCCACTTGTCGCAACCTGAAGAGATGGGAGTGATCTTTAAAGGAGTACTCCTCAATTAATAATTTTGAAAGAGACAACAAAAACAAAAAGAAAAGAAAAATGTGTGTGGTACCCTGATCGGGCCAGACCAAAAGTGGCATAAGACGGTGGTGCGAGCGGGCCGCCCGGACCACAAGCTTCTGTTATCTCCGTCATAGTCCACA